TATTGAACTCCCTTTGTGCCCTTTACTCATCCGGTAGGAAAACCTTCCTGCCACTGTTGTGTCAGGGAAACACAGCGACCACAGGTCTCAGCACAGATCCTCTGAATGCTAAGCAGGAAAAACAGTGCATCTCAGGAAATACTTCATTCAAGCTTTGCCTGCTGATACATGTAAAATTACATGGAATAAAATAGTCCTGCCTCCTCTCTTTTCTCTCCATGGTTTGTGAGCATAGAACCTTCTCCCACACACAGTTCTCATTAAAACTGAGAACAGGGGAGAAATGGCAGCTAAACTTCAAAGGAAACATTAACATGCTAAGTGTTTTCTTTGTACATAGGTCAAAAGAACATGATTAGGACCAAACTAAATGTCCAGTCTCTTTTGAAGTTATTTCTCCTCCATAAGAAAAATCACTTATTGATATATAATAAAGGTACCATAAAATGTTACCTTCATTTAAAACTTCTGGAAGAGAAGAAACCTAACTCATTGAAGGCTCCAGCCTAGTAGAAAATTTGCATTAGCTATGGGTCATCATGTAAATACACTGGCTACAGGACTAATCACTAGCAGTAAACAAATATTTGAAGAGAAAGCTTCACACAGCACTTGCATGGCAAGAAATTAGCTATAAAAATCAATTATGCATCATTATCACCAGACAGTATGTATCCAGGAGATTCATCTCAGGAAATACAAACCAAGCATCTGGTCAAGTGCAAACACCTCATTTTGCAATTTATAGCCCAGCCAGGGACACATTATTCACAGAGGTCACTTACTCTATCCTCTTGGGAAGGGAAAAAGGAATCTTAAAGCAAAGGCATAATGAAACAGTAAAGAAAGTCAGTCCTTGAAAAATAAACTCTAACCTGTAAATTATGCAAACAAATTTATTCATATAAAGGAAGAGAAAAGCTTCTCCTACTGTGAACTGCCACATTCTACCCAAGATGAGGTTTCTATTGTGGCTTTATGTAAAGGGAAGAATTTAAACTGCAGTGAAGAGTGGAGCAACTCCATTAGTGCTCTGTGTTCAGGTTTGGGGTGACCAAGGGAAGACTGAGCAGAAGTGAATCCTTAGTTCATACAAAATCAAATTCTTTTACTGTAGTCAGCGCATTAATCCTGCCTCACTTCAGCAACAGAATAGGTTTTATTACTTTTATTCAAAGGGATTGAAACCTTAGTGCAAGTTCTCACTCTGAATCTGCACTTTGGAAAGAGTTTCTACTCAGTTAGCCTGAAAATAAATCTCTGTTATTAAATAAAAATAAAAAAAAATTTAGGTATTTGTTTCTTGAGGCAGATGCTATCTTCTTTTGCTTAGTACTTGTTCAGGACAACAGGTATTTAGTACTTCAAATAATAATCCAAAAGAACTATTATAAAACTAATATATAAATACTCATACTACATCATTATTCCATTAATAATGAGATAATAGACTGGCTTCTATGTTCCTTGAGTAGCCTTGAAAATCTCCTCCATGATTGCTTTCAATTTCTTTGCTAGGTTTTTGCTCTTTTTTTAGAAGAGAGAGCAGTATTAAATTGGAGGTGTCTATGTGCAATAACAGGTTAAAACAAAATTCAAAAGAACTGATGGATCTGTGGATCCAGGAAGAAGCAAGAATAAATCCTCAAAAGATGCTTTTTCAAAGACATCTTCAAACAAGCTTGGGACCTTGTGTGCCATATTTTATTGGTGTAAAACATATGAGAAAAGTTCAATTCATTTAAAGGTTTAAAAGTTTCCCTTCTTTCTGTAGCATTTTTCCTTATGAAACACAATTACCACAGTAGGTCTCTCAATGTATTCCCCGTGGTCTCATTGACAAGAAATATTGACAGGAAATCTCATAATGAAAATCTATAACATGCACCTCTTACAACTCAACAACAGCTACCACTAGAGAAGCAGGTTAAAAAGCAAGATTGGAAGGTCATCGTGTGATGAAATATAGGTACCAATCGCAGAGAAGGAAATGGCAGCATTAGGAACATATTTTTACCCAGTGATGAACAGCTTCAGACAGCACCACATGTACTGGCAGAGGGAAGCAGATGCAGCACAGATCAGCCCAAATCTTACAGATTCAGGAGTGTAAAGTCCAGCTCCCAGGTAGATCGTTAGCTCAAAGCTGAAATTTTGCAGAGAGAAAATGAGGTAGCAGGGCCCAGTCTTCCTCCCAGAGCAGCAAAAAAAAAAAAAAAAAAAAAATGCTTTCAAAACAATGGGACAAGAACATTTTCCCCTTTCTTATTTTCTTAATTTTCTACATTTACTCCTTCCTTGCTTTACCTTCTTTTCTTCCTATTAACTGGCTTACCTTTTCATAATCCACTTATTTTCTGGAAGGCAGCAAGAAGCATCTGTTAGCTTAGAAAATATCTCCATGCTGGTACTTGATTCAAGTATTTTAGTAACAGCTGCACATTTCTACCAAGGAAAGCTTTTGCTTTCCTTAATTTCTACTACCTGTGATCTCCTTTTGTTTCCCTCAAAATTTACCTTCAGTTATGTGCACTGTATATCACCACTGCTGCTGCTGCTGCTCTTGGTTATGCATCTTTGAGTTTTTCTTTACTGTATCTCTATGAATTGACTGGCTATTTTTCATTATTTTTGTTGGGCTATGGAGAAAAAAAAAAAGGCAATTTCTTTACTTTAGAATTCTGCCATTTATTAGCATAATAAAACTCTCAGAAGAAATTGCAGTTACCAAGTAGCATCATTTGTAGGGGAACTTACAAGGGCTTTGTTTTAAAGCTAGGGAAATCTTAGAATGAGAAATGGATGGAATTCAGACAGAAAACTTGTGAAAATTAGAATTTAGGAAGTGTGCTCTGAAGTAACAATGGTGATGCTGTTCTGATGTTAATCACATCACAAGAGGCCACATAAGCTAGAGCTAGTATTTCCAATCCTTCTTAATGGCTAAACAAAACACAAACAGGTGCTGGGAAGTGTGACACTAGAAATAAATAGCTGTATTATTATCAGTTTCTACATGTGAATTCCATGTGGAATGAGTTTTTCAATATTCTGTCTATAAATATTCACAGAATTTTGTACCATAGGTTGTGTAATCTCCCAAAAACTTTGGAATTTGCATGTCTTCTAGAAGGCCTATCACCTTTTCCAAACAGAAGGAGGCATTTTATGGTGGGGTTTTTTTATTGTTCTTGGTTGGTTTGTTTGGGGTTTTTTTCAGTTCATAAAGGCAAAACATCAGTCTGCAAAGATGCCTGGGTGTCTAAATATCACCTTAACTGTTCAGTAGTGCCTCTGAAGCCTCAGTTCTATGCAGCCATCTGCTGTTTTCTGGCTTTGGGGAAAATCTATGGATACCTCAACTTTAAAAGGTCCCTTTTTATTTTCCTTTAAAGTAGGGGTCCAGTTGTTCTTTGATGGAACATGTGCAGCTGTGAATAACCACCTGAGGCCGAGGTGGTTCTAGAGATACCTTTTATAGGAGGGAAAAAGTGTAGAGCTGGTTTCTCAGAGGAAGGCTCTTTGGAAAAATTAACCATGAAGTTACAGTAACACATATGGATTGGTCCACATAACGTCTCAAAATACACATCACATATGAAAAGTTCAGAGAAACTGCCTGTTAAAGGCATGGCTATGACACTAACCACAAGGTACACATCTCCTTCCCTCATGTTCCACTTCACTCTTGAAACAAATCACTTGCATGCAAAACTGTCACAACCCTGCTATTTGAAATATTGCACTGCAATTGAATATTTGGAGCTGAAAACAACCCACTTCTATACTCAGCAGTTTCTATCTAGCCATTCATGGGAACAGAGCACAGGAAGGTAATAGTAACAGTTTTGCAGCTCTTTCACTCCATTTTCTGAATTGCCTGCCCCAGTAGTGTCCAGCCTACCAGTGAAACAATGCAGGACTGTATCAGTACCATGTGATAGCCCAGAGTGCAAGAATGACTGAGACACAAATTTCAGGAGGACAAATTATCTACTGTGATGATATTTTATTATCTTTGTAGTCCAAAAGCTAAGCAACTACTCCACAGATCTCAGCTCCTGGTCTATTTACGTGGGGTTAATATGTATAGCAAATGGATGAGGAACACATTGTGTGCATCATTTTTAAACATAAAATAGCGTGATGATAATGTAATTAGTTGTACCTTTTCCATGTACAAATGTACGAGCCCACCATCACCTATAACACAGCTAAGGAAAATACACGGTCCTACAGCAAAGTAAAGCTAGAAATGTCCAGTGTGTCTCTTGCACATCTAAAAGTAGAAAACATGACAAGGACAGCAAGAAAATTGCAGCAAGTCAAACTGTTTTCTTTAGAATAAACTGACCACTTACTGTGCAGGAGTAAAGTTTCTTCCAAGGCTGTTGGACTGCGTGAAATTGTAAATATAAGGTACATGACCTTGTTCTGTCTCTGCTGTGGGGAATTTTGTGGGCCTGAATTCAAAAGTATAATGCCAAGTGTCAAGATACACCTACCCATGTAAGCAATCACAAACTGCAGAAGGATGTTTTAAGACCACTTCTCTTGTTATCAAAAGTGCACCACCGAGTAATGAGATTGTCAACAGAACCTGACAAACCTTGCTTTGGAAAAAAGAATCTGTTCACCAACACTGGTACTTCATATGGTACTCTATGAACAGTTCCTGGCCGTGCTTCTTGCTGCATCAGACATGAAAAAATTAGGATAGGAAGTTAGCATTCGGTGCAATTGGCCACAATCCCTTGAAAATTTTCTGGGAGTATCCTCTTGAGTAATTTGCTGGTAATTTCTCACCTTTCACATGCTAGCAATATGAATAATGATGTTAATTCAGATGCAAAACAGGAATATTTTAGGCCTTCTATTGAGGAACTTTTTGGCCACAAGACCAGTGGCTTTGCAAGTTTGTTAAATACTTTCAGTGTTTACTTTTGTAGCTATTTATTACTGCTGCTAACCAGAATGCATCCCTGTTAGTCCTGGATCAGTTATTCAAATAAAGGGCTGTAGTCTGGTGGATTCTTCTGCTGTCCACATGGCTCCAGTAGTAGCTCCCCACCTGATGATGTGATGATTTCATCCTGGAAAGATAAAACCAATTAAAATATCAAAGATCTAAGCCTTTCCTGTAATTGGCAACCAATTATGAATAAACACTTGATAAAATAATTACGGACCAGCAAAGGGATCCTACAGATTAATCATTTTCTTCATGCTTTATCTTCTGCTTATGCTCTTAGTAACTTGTGCTACTATCAGTGCAATCAGTGTACACAAGAGGCTGTGATTTGTACTACTTGCAAGTTGCAACACTACTTAGGAAAATAAAGGATGTTCTCATGGATTAATTTAACAGGCATATGCCAGTCTTCCTATGCTACTTCCACAGTCATTCCACAGGATGAAAGAAGCTTCCCCAGGCAGACAGAGCAAGAGTTCAATGTTGAGTGTTCATACGTAACAGGAACAACTTTCTGACTCATTACAGAAACATGAAATACATTCACCTTGCTAGGATAAAGACAGCCTTTACAAATAGCAAGTATTCTCATGAAGTAAACACTCACATGCCAAGTGTGCATTTCCAGTAACTGATTACCAATTCACTTATTGTAAAAGTAGAGAACTTGGTCTTTGCATTTATTCCTACAGTAATGATTGTTCATTTTTGGTTTTGTAGAAATTTAAGATTTATAGATGTACCAAAATGAGCCAGGATCCAGACATGATATTGACTAAAATAGCAATCCTTCATCTGAAAGTTTAGATCCAAGTTATGGATCTATATATGGGCCTCAGATGTTCAAAAGCTATCTAGTTTCTGTTGAAATTCAATGTAAATTTGGTGCCTGATTTCTTCAGAACACATGCAGGTTCCCAGTTGTCATTCCTTCCCAGTCACTACATCAGACTAAGTTCAGAAAGTTACTACCCAAACTAAATGATTTTCAGAATCAAAGAACCACAGAAGCATTTAGGTTGGAAAAGACCATAAGATCACTGAGTCTTAACTTTTGACAAATCTCTAGCTTGTCAACTAGATAAGGTTATGAGGAAGTAAATACAAATATTTAGCAATTATCTTGGAGATGTTATTGCTGCTTTCCACGCAGTATTTAAATGAAAATAATAAAAAGAGAAGATTCACAGTCACACTTTATTCTGTAAGGTTTGTTCTTTCAGCTAGTGGTTACCACTTGTGTCTGTCAGCTGAGTTGGTTGAATGACCTCTTCTTATTTTTTTTTAATCAAAATGAAACAAAATTAATCAATAATTAAGTAAAAAATTAGTTATACCAGTCCTGCTCACTTTGATTGAAAGTTAAAAAATCCCTCAAAGAGAAGTCCATGCAACCCATGGGGTGGGAAAGTATACTCTTGCCAAAAATAGTGCTGAGGAAAGCAGCACCTTCTCAAAGATACAGGAACAGCTGCAAGAGAAAGGTTGCCCAAAGCACAGCCATTTACATACAGATTGCTTAGTTGGTTACCAGAAGGCTTTGGGACACTTGACTGTGTACTTCACCAGAAGGGGCAGGAAAAAAAGCTTCAAAGAAAACTATGTGACAGACAGGATAAGATGCCTCCTGAAGTGATTGCCAAAGAGACCAGTTTTAATATAGCTAAAAGCTAGACAGTTAAGAGAATTGTGTGTTGGCATTAAAGATGAACCAGTTTCTCTGATAGGCTTCCTACAGGGCCAGCTATTAACTATTATCAGGAGACACCTAAGAAAGTGTTGGCTTTTTGTTTTAGTGGCAGGACCTAAAAGCCATTCTGCTTCTAAGTGCTCTACTGCTGTCTGTAAATGTGTTTCTGATACAGTGATTGCTTACTATGAGCTGTGATAGAAATACAGGAAGGTAGCCGGAGCAGAGCTCGTTGGAAATGGTTGCCACCATCACCCCTCTACAGGAGCAGAGAGGATACTGGACGAGCCAGAGGTCCTACATCCAGTGCCTGACAATCTGCATTTGAGGTGTTGCATGTCTGCTTTTCTTTCCCTGACATGCCTGTGGTTTGACTCTTTCCAGTTGTACTGGGTCTGGCTGGAGCAAAGTTAACTTTCTTCTGTATTTTGAATTTGTGGCTAAGACAGTGTTGATAACACACCATGGTTCTGGCCATTGCTGATCAGTGCTTGCACAGCATCAAGGCTCTCTTTTTCCTTCTCGAGACCTGCTGGCAGAGAAGGCTGGAAATAAGGGAGAAGCTAAGAGGGAACATTGACCCTCTGGTTGACCCAAACTGGCCAAAAGGATATTCCATGCCATATAATATCATGCTCAGCAGAGGATGAGGAAGAAAATGGGTATGGGGGATTTTGGCTTCCAAGGTAGCCATGAGAGAAGATTTCATCAAATGAGAGGAGGACATATCTTTTAGTCAAATGGGACACCTACTATATCCCCATGTGGAAATATAACTTCTGGACATATAATGTCATAATGGGTGACACTAAGGCAACACTTAAACAGATGTTGCAAACTAGGTGAGGTAAAAGGAAGATTTAAAAGAGGGGGAATTTAGAAGAAAAATAACCTTTGTGAGACTGAACACTTAAAAAATAAAAAGCTATGAAGAAAAGGAAGAGTAAAAATTTATAAAACTACTTAGAGCCAAGAGTGAGAAAAGGATAAAAAAGGGTAAAGGAACTAGAAAAGAGATGAAGAGAAATAATAAGGGTGGTTAAGAAAAAAGCAATTAAAACTGATGAAGTTGGAGAGAGATGCATGATCATGAAAACAACTTATGCTACTGTGCTCAGACAACAGTGCTACTGTTTAGTTACAGTCTGGCAACAGGAAACAAACATTAGAGGCAAAGTAATTCAAACCCATGTAAAGTCAAGTAGTAAATTACTCCTGTAAGATTGCTTTGGGTAATAAGGAGTGACTCTTAACATGTCCCTAAAAGGGAGCCCCTCCATGATCTCTTCACCCTCTTTACTGCAGGGCCACGCTCCCTTGCTTTTGCACGTTATAGCCCTCACATCAAAGGTAAACAAATGCTGAGATTTCATTGAAAGACCTTTCTATGGCATTTCCAATCCAATTTTCCACAGGAAAAAGGCTCAAAAAGTGTTAGCTCTGCCAGCCCTTATTAGTCCATTTGTAGCTCAAGGAGAGCATGTGTTGTAGAAGAGGACGCAAATACATGCTGAAGCATTTTAAAGAAGGAGAAAAGCCTTGTGATTCACTGCAACAAAAGACACACACTATGAATATTGCAACTAAACTTAGTGTAGAATATTCTTTCCCACACTATGGCCATTATTATTTTCCAGGTTGGTTTCAAATTACACAGCTCCTTGTTAAATTATTAATTCGTTCCACTCAGCTATTGATCTCTACCTAGCAAGTGTTACCTTGTGAAAATCGATCAGATCTGTGAGTGTTGCGTGTCGGTTTGGATCTACCCCCAAGAAGCTGTAGAAATCCCCTGAAGCATCAACCAGGAAGTGCTTGAACCCACTTTGTTGGCGATAAGACAACGCGTAGCCCCAGATTTTCTCACTGACTCGCACCAGGAATGTGCCTTCAGATTTATTCATCAACAACTCTTCTGCCTCCTGACGGCTGATAATACCTGGTGAGAAAAAAACCCTATAGTTATGCAGGTAACAAGTCTGTCAGAGGCAACCAAATGCAACAAATACAGAGCACTAGTGAAATTAAAATGGTGTAACTTCTGAAGACCAAAATGTTTACATTCAGGAGTAGAAGCAATGGAGACAATATTTATGCTATTTGCTTCTGAAGGATAGCTATGAGTCTGGTGGGACAGGCTGTTTAATTCTGTGATTAAGAATATTTTTCCCACCCTTACTGCTTTTCCAAAAGAAGTACATGAATGCAACTTTCCTATCACACTGCAGAATTCTGTACAAGTCATCATTTAAGCAGATTAGGACAGTTTGACATTGCAATCTGAATTTGCAATATACTGCTGGTAATTGCAATTATATTGCAGTTCTTTGGATTCTGTTACCTTATAATTATTTTACGGGCCCTAAAGAGGGAATATAAAGCAAATGCCAGGAGAAAAAGTATTTGTCTGCTTTTGTACATACAGACACACACATATCCATAGATGCAAGTAGATAAACTGGAGCACAAAGAAATCAAATCCTGCTCATAGACATGGGTATGTTAGATCACTTATTCACAGGTTTGCATTTCCAGGAAACATTGTCACAGAAGAAAACAAGAAACAAAGATAATTCTGCATTTTCTTCTGGGACCTTTCAGGCTTAATAGCAGAGTAATAGTCTTCTCCAGTTAAAAATTATATCTCTGAGCTAAAAGAGTCCCCACCCAAAGAAAAGATTGAGTACTGTTGACCAGAAGTGAGTTCATCCTAGTGAACAGTGATGACCTATGTACCTAGCTCCACAACAAGAGAGGACAAAATTAGTTGGGGTTTCTTGCATTATGTGTCATCCTGCGGTCACTATCTCTATGAGCTAGTTTACCTCTCTGGACAAACTCAATCAGGAAAAAAAATTTCTCCCTGTACCCTGGTCACCAAGCAGTTGATTTATAGGTGAATTTATTCCTTTGCTGCATGACAAACTTATCTGTCACGGTGAAAATATCACAAATTCAGATTTTCAGAGTAAGAAAAGGTAAAGGTTTAACAAGAATAGAGCTCTCAAGAACTTTCCCATTTTATTCTTTTGTGTTGGAAAAATCTCCATCTCTCTTCTTCTTTCTGAAGGGCACAATGCTTCTTTCCTAGGGCATAACACTGAAGTTGCTGGTACTTCTGCTTGCAAACAGGATATAACAGACAAACCCTATTCTGATCACAACCCATGTAAAAGGAGTGATCAAAATTGCACCCAGCACTGACCCAGGTCATACCATCCACCTAAAAAACCTGGTTCCACTTTGTCTGATTGGCCTAGAGGACAGTAAGCTCATGTCTCAATTATCTGTGAAACACCAGATGCTCACTTTCATCAGGAACAGGTGTTAGGCCTTTCTGAATGTGAACATGGCACAGGTTGCAATAAATAATGTACATACATGTTCCAAAGTTACTCTCTTTGAGGCCAAACTTTCTCAAAACAATACTTATGGTGTTTAATTGAAGTGGTTGTCACGGTTGAATCCTACACATGTCGTACTAAGAGTTTCTATGGATTTCAAGTACTGAAAAGCCACATTGCTTTAAAGTAATAATAAACATAGCCCAGAGATTACCAGTTTGTACAAAGAAGGGTCTACCAGAAAGAGCACAGTTTGGAATGTTCTAATTAAACCCACATGGAAAATTATGCCTCTGGGAAACATAGGGAGAGACTGAGGAGTTCTAGGTCTTAAAAGTAAGCACTTTGTGGTGTTAGGAAAGAGAAAAGCATCTCCTTTCTTTTTTTTTGGTCTACTTTAGGAAAATTAATTTCTTTTACAGTTTTACTTGGTGCAATGGGGGTCAGAGGTCCCTACTGAAATGTCCTCAGTACTAAGAAGAAACATACATGTATATAATTTGCTGAATGACACACATATTTCTGTTCTGAAGGATACTACATCATCTTTACACCAGACATGCAAAACAGGCAGTAAACATGCAAACATAAGCATTTGTTTAGAAAAAGCATGTAACTGCTCAGCCAACAGCATCAATTGATGCACTTTGCAAAATTAAAAATATTTTTATTGAAAGTATTCCAAGATGATTTGTTAAAAATTTTAAACTCTGTTCAGATAAAAGGATAGTACCAATATGAATCCATATGATACAGCATATTATGTGAAGCCATATCATTAGATAACAATACCAGGTGTCACATGTCAAGAATTACACAAAAATTGGTTCTGAAATCACATAATCTGTTAACCCAGTCTTGACTCAAATTGGCCTAATTTAACTATACATGAACAGTTTTATTAGTGATTATGGTGCCTACTTCCCTGACAAATCTCTGCTGGAAATGAATGTAGATGAGCCACACAGATAAGCCCAGAGCATTCAATGACAGGAAAGGGTAAACAGTCTCATCACCAGCAAATACTGACATTAATTAAAATAATCAATATTTATACTGTCATTCCAGGTTGAAATCATAATGGTAATTTTTGGGGTAGGAACTGGGTGCTGTTACAGCTAACCTGTTCTTTAAGCACTGTCAGAATTGTTATGCAGCCCTGATAGGGAATGAGGTGGCCTAGATAATTTACCCTCTATGAATATAGAGGATCTGTAAAAGAAGGGAGCTGGAAAAAAATAGAGGTTTTATTACACAGTGGGCACTATTCTCAGCATATTTCTAGGGTTTGAGTGACCATCACTATCAAGCATATAATATGAAAATCATTTAGCATTGATTAGTTTAATGGCAAAAAGACTGTTTACCTGCTCTCAACTCCCACCAGTGGAGCTAAGACACTGCAGGTTTCCACATGATGTTAATCTTCTTTGCCAGACCTCATTTTTGTTCTGGGCACTTTATACCATTGAGTAGGTGAGAAATGCTACATTGTTCACAGCCAAGTTCTTTTTTTGTTTTAACTTTCTTTTCTGCTAAAGATGGCATAATAAATTATCAACCTGACACTTTGTTTCCTTTCTCTCTTCTGATTCCGTTAACAGCCCATGAGAAACCATCTCTCCCCACCATCTCCTCCCTCTCCTTGCCTCCAAGTTATTTAATTTTTCTCTGGTTCAATTCTTCAGTGGGTGGTTACTACAGCAATGAAAGTCTCTCCCTCTACCCTTTGAAAAACATTATTCTGTTCTCAAGACAATTGGAAAAAGAGTGGCACTGTTCACTTCTGAGACAGCTGTAAATAGACAACATCTCTGAACACCCTACATGAACATTTGAAATTGTTTTGGGTAAAATCATGAAACTTTGGTTTCCCAAGGCTCCAGTAAGACGTTTAGAATCACAGATGCTCTTATTTGTGTTAGTTAGGATATTAATTAGAAATATTATTTAGAAAAGAAACTACTGATGCTTTGAAAACTAATTTTCCCCTTGCTTTCAATCTTGCTGTATAAAAACAAACCAAAATAAAAAAAAGGAAAAACTCCAACATCTAAACTTGGTATAAAGCAACACTGTGTCAAACAGTAATCTTTTCACATAAATCATGTAAATAAATATCTCACAATTAATTGATCTATCATCAGTATCATCATTTTAACTCATCATTTGGCCAAACTCCAGAATATTTGGGCAGCAGCTACTCCACTGAAACACATCTTCAACCTGTCATGCCAAAGAATTTCTCTCAGATATACAACAACCTGCTGTTGTCTATAACAAACCATAAAGGTGCAGTGGGATTTTGGCTGAGAGAGGATCAAAGGTGTAATTAACTCCTCCCAAAAGCATGGAAATCCTCTCAGCTGTCTTGAATTTTAACCCTCCTGCCCCCAGATTCACTGCATGCATCTATCACATTACATGCCTCTACCTGTCCACTTTTAACACTCCAGTTTTGCAATGCTTATGGCTGTTAACATTTTGAATTCTTAGCTAGAAAATAATGTTTTGTAAGGCAGTTATTTCAAATCATAGGACATTCATCATCAGCTGACATGTTCCCAATTAACAGCCTCATTTATAAAATACAGGGTATATAATGAAAATGTTTAGATGATAGGCATGTCTTAACATTTTTGTTGTAATTATGTTCTTTTCACTGCCATCAATCTTCCAAAAAGGAAAGAGAACATCCTAACATTTAGGGTATATTAAGCTCACATGGGAACTGGAGAGTTTATTATGAATTTAGTGAGCACAGCTAAGAAATCTTGATACTGCCTTCCAATTTTACAGCAGCCTCAATAGTAAAAAATAGCTATTCTGAAATATTATGCAATGACAATTCAGCTTCCCACCCTTCCTTCGGCATTATCCTCCGTACATCCCTAAATGGAACTCAGGAGGTGAAATACATAAATATTTGCTAAGAGGATGCCATAACAAGCATGAATCCAAACTAGAAAAGCTGATGAACTTTACCAACAAGGCAAGACTAAAATTACTTTTTCATTATTATACAGATCAAGTTACATCATGTCCATTGCTGTAATCTACCAGTGGTCTAATGTAGCACATGTAATAATAATGTCTAAATACAAAGATAATTTGGCCTTTAATAGTCAACATATTTTAATATATAAATGTGCATTTGTGTATGTCAAGAGGCTGACTAAGATTAGAGGGACAGCAGGTACAAACACAACCCAGAAGCCCTTATTTAGCCTCCTGCAATAGAAGCTGTTTGCTCAGACGATGTTTTCTCTTTTCATATTTCTTCATTAGCTTGATCTCAAACACACTAGTGCATGGGGTTTTACTCACAGAGAAAAAATGTCACAAATATTGGCATGAATAAATGAGAGCAATGTAATGAGAGCAATCATGCCAAAAGTGCTTTCATGACCATTATGAAAAGCCTTCTATTTCATGCAAAATTGATTTGTTGAACAATTATGAATATTCACGCGTAATCAATGAAGAAGAAAGAGATGCATCCTGTTTATACAATTTAAGACATCTAACCAGGGGAGCATGTGATTTAGGTGACTAATCAGGATCCAAAACAGAGGGAAGGCAATACCAGCATCTC